CCTTGGGGCACCTGGTGTGTACAGTCTGCAGACTCCAAGGCTACCAGTGACCAGGAAAGGAACGCCTGATTTGCCTGTTGCTAAATTGAAACCAGCAAATTCTTACCGGCCGCTTGTTGAATGTAGGGGCTCCACGATGTAAATGCAGCCTTGAAACGTTGGCGTGTGTGCCTGTGGACATTGGTCACCTCGTCGCTAATAATGATAATAATAATCCTTGCATTTGAGATAGCGTCTCATCACGTCTTCGCGACGTCTCAAAGCGCTTCACAGAATATACGCAAGAGCCAAGGCTTGGGGGAGCGAGCCCAGAGTGTGCGTTGGGGGTACTGTTGGGTGTCTAAGCAGCTAAAAAAAACCTCACAGCTTGCCGTTGATGTTGCTGTCTGGCCAGCTTTCCCGCTGCTCGTCCAGCGAGGTACCATTTGACACAGCACAAGTTGCAATTGGCTGTAACTAATGGAATGGATTGAGCTTTCAAGTTAACGAGGACAAAAATCTTCCGATCCGCTGGTGTGTGTTGTGTTTTTTTTAAAAAAAACGTATATTTTATATCAAATGACTAAAAAGGAAAATGTCGCCTTTCTGTTTTGTGTGTGCCAGGGCGTGAGGTGTGTCTAAAGAAACTTAGAAACAGGATAAGGCCATTCAGCCCCTCGAGCCTGTGTCCCCGTTCTATAAGATTGTGGCTGATCTGTACCCCAACTCCAATTACCCCCCCCCCCACTTTGCCCCGTATCCCTGAATACCCTAACCTAACAAATATAGCTGCCCATTGAGTTTATTTCGAAAGGAACACACGCTCTAAGTCACCTTAGAAACCGGTTTCAGATTTAAGTACATTTAAGCCCTACCTACATTTTGCTGTTCTGTCATAGATTTGACAAACAGTGTATTTTTCAATCAAACTCTTTCTCTCCCCCCACCCCCACCCCCTCCCCGCACTGTTTTCTGTACTAATAGAAAATTTACCTTCCCCAGAAATCACTCTTTGTGGCGTTCTTTCCTTCTTCTTGTCATTAAACCTTTTGACCTGCGTTTCCTTCGTACTTTCCTCGTCTACCTGGCATATAAACTGTGTACTGTGCCTGTGTACTGTGTGCAGAAAGCATGGGGCCTCAGCAATTATCTGGGGTCTGTTTCCATTGTGTGAGTGAGTTGTTTGTGGGGTGGTTACCACGACGTAAGTCTTTAGGACCGGCTCGGGCCCATCTGGTTCTAGTTATCTCTCTCCGCAGTAGGGCTGAGTCTCATTTCCTCACACTCTCAAAGCCCTACAAGCAATGATCTTGTTATGCCTTAGCGTAATTGAAAATTACATGTTGTGCAGACTCGCGGCACTAAAATGCAGACACATAAAACATTATGTGGTTCAGGTAATGACATGGGGAAAAATAAGTTACACAGGTAATAAAGTTAAGATACCCGGGGAAAAAAAAATGCAGCCAGATTAGTGTGTTCGGAATGGAATCTTCCGGGTTTTTTTTTTTTTACAGAGTGGGGTCTTTTCTCTGCAGTGTTTTTTTGGCCCCGTGTTTTTTTTTTGTTACGTGGCCAACTGTTAACTAAATTCCGAAAAAAGCTGTAGCGAGTTTAAGACCTATCTTCCTTCCACTGGCTTCCTCTGCACAAATCCCTGTGATAAGTAACTTGGCTTAAAGCGCTCTGCACTCAACGATTGTTCAAGTGACCCGGGCTGCAGAGTTGAGAGAATTGCAACAAAGACAACCTTTCTTTCTGCGTGCGCGAGCGAGCGTTATCGCGTCACATTAACCCGTTGAGGACTTGTGACGTTTATGTAGAGGCCCTCGCTCAGGGTAGAGGGGGGGGAGGCACCGGCCAAAGAGGAAGGTCTTTCGGCACAACCTGAAAATGGGGGGAAGGAAGGGGGCCAAGATGGAGGGATAGAGGAAGAGTATTCCAGGGTTTCGGGGCGTAGTGACCGAAAGTGCGGCTCCAATGTTTATCATAATCACCCACATGTAGAAACCCATCGAATATCCAGACCAGATTGAGTTCCACATGTGTATGGCATGGCAGCTGAGGTGAGCTGGGGTAGGGGAGGAGATCCCTATACTGATGTGGGAAATAATAATAATAATAATAGTAATAATAGGGAAAGGGGGAAGAGTACTTTTTTTTTAAAAGATGTGGTGTAGAATAGCGAGGCTTTATTATAATAATAATTATCGTACTGAACGCCAGATCCATTTACGCCTAACCTGGGAGTTCTCAGTCCAATACTATTCCACAACACTTGACGTTGCTTTCCTTGGGGAGGGGAAGCAAAATCCCAATCCGAATCCAAAATGGACAGCTCATAAAAAGAACGTAATTATTATTTGTGCGTCTGTTCTGTGAATGTCCAAAGGAATTTGACCAAATAAACTACTTATCTATCTCCTCAGGAGGTGCCAGGGTTCCGTATCCTGTGTTCCCAACTGGATCCTACGAAACAGTTCATTTTATATATATATATATAATATATAATTGCAGTTTAGATTCCCAGAAATGGTTACAATTCAACAATAGGCTTATTTACTGAGTGCGGGATTACTTTACTGGCTGAAGATCAAAAATGTTAATCTTGCAAGGTTTTTCAAGGGAAAATTAGACGCAAAGTAGGAGTGTCGTAAAGATAATATTGTGAGGAGAGAAAACGGATTTGTGTTTTTTTTTTCTTTTTGCACTCCCAATTATTTTCTCCTCCCTTCCTTTTTGCCTCTTTCTATTGGTTCTGTTTTCTCCGGGCACTGTCATGGTGTTGAGTGAATACTTGACCTAGTGGGAAGAGGGTAGAGAGGGAGAATAGGGCATCACAGCCAAATCTGTGGCCAGATGCCCTAACGGTGAACTTAGTCAAAAAAGCCATTGGAGGCAAAGGGCAAGCAATTGGGTAGCATTGACGCGAAATAGGTTGGGTATAGCCAAAGCGACAAGATACCGTTGGAATAATTGTGCGGAAATAATCGTTGAACAAAGCTGGTTCCTGTAAACAAACATCTGTTGGTGCGGTGTAAGGATTCTTCCTGCAATTAGGGACAAGTGGTAAGATTCCTTACCCTGGGGGTGGAATTGTGATAAATATTTCATAATTTGGGGAGGGTTTCAGCCTGCTGCTCCACGATTTATTTTAACCAGTGTGATAAAGAGGGAAAGTGCATGACGCTTGCTCCAATTAATGGAACTACAGTAACCTGAGGGTGCTTCAGGTTGAATGTGGTCCGAGCTGGTGAATTAATGCTGGCTATACAACCTCCAGGGTAGCTCACTAAGATCTATCCCACTGTACAGCTCAGTAACTCTTTCAAGTCAGTGCTATGATGACGATAGCGTTTAATGCTTGACCAGAAACGTTCGCAAATTGAAAGTAGTGGACGGAAGAAAAGCTAGAAAGATCCTCCTTCCACTTTTCTTGCGAGCTTCTGAGATGGTTTGATGGGGAGACTTTTAAGATATCAAAGATCCCATGGCGGAGTTGTGAACGAATGAAGTTTCACCCCCGGTGTTTTGGCCATCGATTCACAGTTACTACATGTCACAGGAACTGTCAGTCCAGCACTTAGAGATGTTTCAACCTTATATAGGCGCAATGTCAAAGAGGAGGAGTAGGATGATGATAATAATGATTATAATTATACCCGGCAACTTGGGGCTGGCCTGATCGACGTCATCGGTCTTTCCTGTACAATCCAATGTCACGCAATGGAGTTTCCAAATGCACAACAAATGTCAGGAGACTAAGGTCTAAATAGTGATTTTTATTTTCCTCCTTGAAGTATCGAAAGTTGTTTTACAATAATAAATTGAGAGGATGCATTTTGGAGCTCCCCGATTTTTATTATCCGTGATCCGAGGAGTCCTATAGCTCAGTGGTTAGAGCGCGAGCGAGAGGACCTGGGTTTGATTCCCGGGCAGGGCGAAACGTTGGGCAAGTTTCCTTACTCCACACGTCTCTGTTTACCAGCAGTAAATAAGAACCCGGTTGTTAGTCGATTGGCGGATCCCTTTTCTGGGGATAAAAATTCCTTTTTAAAAAAAAATTGGTCACTCATTCCACTGCTGTGCGCAATTGGCTGCCGCATTTCGCCCACAAAATATAGTCAAATCACTTTACAGTGTCTGGAAAATGTAATAAGGCGCTATATCAAATGCAAGAATTATTATTATTATCAAACCGGGGAACGGCAAGAAGACGGTTGTCCCATTAACATCCGAAAGTTCAACCCCCAGCTTTCCAAAGATTTCAACTAGAATTATGTTAAATAATTCAAATGATAATGAAAATATCCAAACCAGAGACTCCAAATGTGAAATGACAACTCCTGCTTGTGTGGCAGAAGTGTGGCAAGCTGATCTGTGTGGGAATGCCACTCTCTGACATGACCTTCTTCTGGAAAGGTGTTCCCAGGGGATGTCGTTCCTGACACCTTTGATCTGTCCGGGCTGAATCCTACTAGAACCAGTGCAGATTTAGCAAGTGGGCAGATCTGGTCAGACGAGTGAGGAGCTTTCGAAAGTGGTGGAGAACCTGGATTTGAATGGAATGGGCAGATTCTAAATAATAATAATAATAATAATAAATTAGACACTCGATCCACGACCGTCTGCGGGACGCTGCTGTGCGCAATTGGCTGTTGCGTTTCGCCCACAAAATATACAGTCGATTGACTTTACCGTGTATTCTGTGGAGCGCTTTGAGACGTGTCGAAGACGTGATAAGACGCTGAATCAAATGCAAGGATTATTATTATTATTATTATCCTCTTTTGCTAACGCCAGCAAATGTATCCATTACGTTACGCCTGTTTCTATTTGCACTATTATTAACCAAAATGAAATGGTAATTATTGTTGATTGCAAACGTTTGATTTGGTTGAAAAAAATTCATCTTCATGTTTTCATTTTGTCTTTGTTTGTCCCATGTGTATTTTTCGAGGGATTTTTTTTATTATTATTATTATTTTAATCATTTTCCTTTTATTGTTTCTCATTTCCAGTACCTGCAGATGAAATGGCCATTGATTGATGTACAGGCAGGGAGCCTACAGGGTAGGCAAGGACTCAAGGATGCTAGGTCCCCATCTCCAGCACATATTGTTGTAAGTAATGGCTGGATTTCATCTTCTTTTCCTGATTTTCCGGATTTTAATTGGGTTTTGCAGGCGATGTACACGGTAGAATTCCAGGAGCCGTGTGATACGTGACACTTTGCAATCACGATAATGCTTACAGAAAGGGTCTGGACTGCAAGCTTTAACCTTTGAAAGGGGGGAATAATTCGCCCCTTCCTGCATCTAACGTGATCTTGTGCAAGGCTGGTTAACGATCTCTTTCTGCAGCTCTGATATCCGGGCTCGTCAAAATATCCTGAACTCGATATTCCGCCACCCCACGTGAAGGCCGCTGTATAAGCCCTGGTTGTCGTCGTCGTGTTTCAACCGATGACTGTAAAAGATTGGCCTTTTTTTCCACACCATTAAGGAGCAGGGGCTCGGCACAAACATTTTGTGGGGCGTGGGGGGGGGGGGGGGGGGGGGTGAGAAGGGAAGGAACTACATTGTGGTTTTAGCTCAGAGGCTGTTGGACTGGATTTCATGTTGAGAATCTTTCAGATGGTCTTTGTACATTGATAGAAGTCTCTCAGGGTGACTTGTCATCATTTCCCCTCTGTCACCCTGTCTGTTTGTGAGACTGATTAATCGCACGGCGTGGAGTAATAGTCAACCACAACAACAACTTGCATTTACAAAGCGCCTCTCGTGCAGGATAGAGTCCAGAGCGCTTGACAGTGGCGGAACATGACTCTGATCGGGGGTTGGGGAGGGAGAGGTGGCCATAGGTCAGGTCAAAGAGGAAGGTCTTCTGGTATTATCTGACGATGGGGAAGGAAGGGGCAAGGCGGAGGGAAGTGTCGAGTTAAGAGTGTTCGTTCCAGAGTTTCAGGGCGGAGTGGCTGAAAGTGCCGCTGCCAATGGCGGAACGGAGGTGCGAGGGACATTCAGCAAGCCGGAGCCAGTCGAGTAATAGTCCAAAGGATCCCATTTTTTTCCGTTGCCTGCAATGGGACATGTGTCTGCAAAAAGTGTCGGGCATTTAGGCCCCATTATCTTCTCGGATCCAGTCCAAAGGTGGTGGGGGTGGTGGGGCAGGGGGAATAAATGGCGCTGAGTGGGAGCAGGCCTCGGTGATGCAGGACTGAGCGCTGTTGCCGCAAAAACTCCTTGAGTGACGCGGATCATAATGTTTCCAGTTTTTTTTTCTCTCCTGCTCGCTGGCACGGTTTCCAGCAGTATTTCTGCTCTGTATGCACAAGCGCAAGTGAACTCTGAGTGATGTTCTTCGGTCTGCTTCAGCGGCAGTCTGAACGCTGAACATTAGGTTATTCTTTGACCCCAATTATCATTCAGTGTATTTGTCCCCCCCCCCACCACCACCACCACATCTCGTGGAGTCCTGTAGCTCAGTGATTAGAGCACTCGCTTCGCAAGCGAGAGACCTGGGTTTGGTTCCCGGGCAGGGCGAGACCTTGGGCAAATTTCCTTGCTCCACACGCCTCTGTTTACCCAGCAGTAAGTAAGTTGTTAATCAATTGGCGGATCACTTTTTCGGGGGTAATAATCCCTTCAAAAAAATAATAATTTGGTCACTCAATCCACGGCTGTTTGTGGGGACGCTGCTGTGCGCAATTGGCTGCCGGGTTTTGCCCACAAACTATAAGCCTATTCACTTCACAGCATATCCTGAGAAGCGCTTTGAGATGTCTCAACGACACAATAAGCTATTTTTAAATAGCTTAAGTTTCCACTTAAGCTATTTAAAAATGTCTATTTTTTGGCAAATGTCTTTTTTTTTAAAAAAAAAGGAGAATCAACTGAAACGGTAACCCGGTGAGCATTTTACTGTCGCTCTGAAGCGTTTAGAAACCTCTGTGATCACTGTTTGCATTCCGAGTGGCTGATTGAACCGCACAATGCAAGTAATTCTTCCGCACCCCACCTCCCTCTCTCTCTCTCCGTCACACTGTCCACGCTCCATACCTGTGGCTACACTTGATGTGTTATTTTCCGTACTTTTAAACGCGAGAGGAACATTGGCGGGGAAGGATGTGCAAGCAATTCCCGTTACTAGGGAAACATGCCGTTCCGATCTTAAATTTGACCATGGCGCTTTTGCATGCTGTTTAATTTGTTTATGTAGAAAATGACTAGCATTCATTTGGCAACTCCTTTATGTAGCGGAATTCTTTAGGAGACTGTCGTGCAGGTTTTGACAGTAGCCGTAATGTTTGGGAACTATTATGGAGTGAGATTTTTTCCCCCTTCTTTTTAAAAAAAAACGAATTAAACCATTTTGCGTGCGGTTTTTCGCAGCAAAACTTTACATCTTTCAGTGTCCGATGAGATTTACTGTGATCTACTGAGAGGAAAAAGATCCCAAGTTTGATTATATGGCAGTATTTCCCGCCCCCACCACCACGCGCACACGACACACGTGCACTGTAAATTCACAATCATATATCCATGTCAGAGCCAACAAGTTCTCTTCCCCCCCCCACCACACCCCGGTCATTCACTTCATGGCTGTTTGTGCCTACAAACCACTGTCAGTACACCTCACAGTTAAAAAAAACTGTGAAGCACTTGAGACATCTCGATGATGGGCTTGGGCGCTATATCAAATGCAGGGTTTCTTAATTCTATTGCACATGCAAACGCGCTGCTTTGTGTATGCACTCATTTATATACACGTACGCTCGCACTTGCTAAACTATCACACGGCTATTAGCCGTGACTGTCGACTCCCGGCCTTTACAGGAATGTTCTACCACCTCCCAGATAACGAGGTGTGAGGTTGTGAAACATCGATATACGACAATTATCCAAATCCAAGCACAATGCTGTGTGTTTTATTCCTCTCCTCTCTCTCTCTCTCTCTCTCCTCTCTCTCTCCTCTCCCCCAGATGCTGTTTTACATATTGCAAAAAGTTGTAAGCTCTTGAGTTTGCAATTTGGCTGCTGTATTTGGCCCACAGAATGTACAGTCAATTCACTTTGCAGTATATCCTGCGAAGCGATTTGAGATGTTTCAAAGGAGTGATAAGGCACTGTATCAAATCCAAGGGTTATTATTCTTATTGCTTGAGCAAACATTTGTATTTATTCTTTGGAATCCACTAAAGTGTAAGAAGTTTGCCTTCAAAACACTGCTTTTAAAATCCAAATCTACATTCACTGGACTGTGGTTTAAAGCCAACTCCCTCCCTCCGAACAGATAATGATATAATAACCCTTGCATTTGATACAGCGCCTTATCACCCCGTTGGGGCATCTCAAAGCGCTTCGCAGAATGTACTGCAAAGTGAATTGACGGGGTATTTTTTGCGGGCAAAATGCTGAGGGAGATCATTTTTAATGTAGCTCTTTGTTCTGATCGGATTCAAACGTTACCCTGTGCTTAATCAGAGCACTCAAACGCTGACTCCACGAAGATAAATACCAGCGAATTTTTTCTAGGAATTGAAAACTGAAATTATCTTTTAAAATAGACTCGTCGGAAACATGTTCCCAGCTTGTGTGAAGCTCCAAGCTCCTTGTTGCTGAATGTTGCTATAAATCCCTTCTGGCAAATTAAAGATAGTAAGTTCAGTGTGCTTGATAAGATGTTGCTGATATGTACATGGATTATATAAAAAAAACGCCTTAGGTTCAGTGTCTTTAGACATAGACGAGGATAGCATGACTTATTATGAGTAGGCAACAGTGTTCTGATAATGAAGGTAATAAAGGTTATTTAAAAAATCATAAAATTGGTCACTTCAATCCACGACTGTTTGTGGGACGCTGCTGTGGTGCAATTGATTGCCGTGTTTCGCCCACAAATACACAGTCAATTGACTTTGGAGTATATTCCGTGAAGCGCTTTGAGCTGTCTCGAAGCCGTGCTAAGCCGCTGAATCAATTGCGAGGATTATTATTATTATAGGAACGTCTGAAAAAAATACTTTTTCTGAAAAAGGTGGGGAAGAGGAAAGGGAGAGAGAGGGAAGAGGTCAGATCTGATACTAAATGTGTTTCTGATGCCTCTTGTCGTGAAAAAATGACTGTGATCTGATCATTATTGCACAGAATGACCGTGTCCTATTGGGCCTCGCATTCCAGATTAATTACCTCCAAGTCAACTAACGCAGTCGTTAAGAAAACACCCAATTCGATTGAAACGCATTTTCTTTTGCCAAAAAAAGGCAAACTAAAAGCTCGGGCTAGTGTTTTTTTGTGTGCAATTCAAAAGTAATCCCACCCACTTGAAAAAGAATAAAATAAAATAATGCTCGTTGGCAAGACGTCTCAAAGCACTTTACGGGGTACACTGTACGCGCTCTGGGACGCTACCCCGTGTGAAGGACGCTGTATAAATGCAAGTCGTCTTTGTTGTGAAGTGGAGTGACTGTGGGGTTTGTGGGTGAATAGGACAGCCAATAAAGTAGGTGTGTAGTCGTTCTCTTAATGGATTCCTGGAAGTGCTTCCTCTTTGCTTGGGGCTGCTCAATGGTTCAGGCAAAGGAAGAAGAGATTCCATAACCTATTGGTCAGGGGGGATGTAGAGGGGAGGGGGTTGCACTTGGGGGCAGCCCTGTTCCAGGAAGATTCCAACTGCTGCTATAACGTCCCTCCAGGCCATGTAGCTATGGATTGGTTCTCAGCCCAAACCTTTGACACAACTTTCCCACTCTCCCCTCTAAATACAATGGAGCCCCTCCTGCCCAGAACGCACGGAAGCCCCTGGGCAGGAGGAGGTGGGTCTAGGGGGCTTTTATCAAAGCGAGGGAGGGGTCTGCATAGTGGGGGCAAAGTGGTTTCCGATGAATGTTTTTCTATGTTGTTTAGAGGGAGTAATTTGAATCGACTGTTAGTTTTTCTTTCCTCCTTTCTCCTCCTCCCCTGGCCTCCGCGCTTTCTTATTCAAACACAAAACGTGCAGAGTAAATCAACTGTGACAATTAAACAAGATGGTCAGGCAGCAGGAGCCGCGAGTTTGGAACAATGTCTCATAGGTCTTCAAGAAATGATGATCGATTTTTTTTTTCACTGAGACGACTTTT